AGAAAAACTCCAGTCATTTTAAATTTTAAAACCCACTGACCGGGTATGCTCTTCTCTTTTTGCGTAATTGATTATTATATAATTTTCTCTGACATCCATCTTTATTTCGCCTTAATTTGCTGTACAAAACTATTTTTTTTTAAATCATCTTGCTTGTTACTATTGTTTACACGTTGTTTTAATGTTATTACTTTTTTTCTTTTTTCAAAAAGATTTCTTTTTAATTTTAACTCTATGATGAAAATCTTCTTTTATTTTATTGTTTAAAAAAGTAGTGTTTTTTTTTTTTTTAGCATAAATTTGCATTTTTATTTCATCTCGAGAATTTTAAAAAGAAAATAACAGCTTTTTTTTTTCTAATCTTTTAAAAATAAAAATCTATTGGTAAATTTTCAAATAATGCCTCAGTGAGAATTTTAAATAAATCTATCATTCCTGGTGTAAAAACTAATTATTTCAAAAATAGCATTAAAAATTGGCGGAAATCTACTGTTTTTCAGATATTGATAATTTTAGTCGGGTCCCAGTCACCCTCGATTATTGCGCAAAAAAAAAGTTTACTACTGGCCTCAATTTACATTACTACAGATAATGCCGCCCCGGTGAAAAATTTGAAAAAAAAAAAGAAAAAGTATCATACTTGTTGTAAAAAAGCCTGATTATTTAGTTTATTGGCTCGATAATTTGTCACTGATGTGGCATTATCTGTAAGTAAATCGATACCATCCAGAGGGTAACTGGCACCCAAGTAAAAATTGTCAATAAAAGGTAGATTTCTGCCAATTTTTAATGCTTTTTGAAATAATCAGGCGATTTTACACCAGGAATTATTATTTTCTTTTTTAAATTTGTCACTGGGGCATTATCTTCAAATTTACCAAACTTGTGTAAAAGTAAGTAAATGTTTTGCTTAGTAGTTTTTTTTTTTTTTAAAGAACGACAGTCTGTTGGTTCAAACGATTTCCGAATACCAAACATTGATTTACCTACCTTACATTTCGTCTTCGGGCCGTGTCACTCCAGGACGTGGGCGATCATCGCTCTCCACAACTTCCTTCTCTTTTTAAGGTTCTTCTTTTTTGCTATCTCTTCTGTTTTCTTACAATTGTTGCTTAATCCTTTCTTTTTGCTTTCCTTTATTACAACTTCTTGTAATTTCTTTTTTCTGTGTGTCTTCCTGTTACGAATCCCTAAAAAAAACAAACTAGCCTTATATTCTGAACTGTCTGACTAAAAAAGTAATAATATCATTTGAAATATCTGTCTATATTTCTGAGATGAGGTATTATGTACATTATTTACATTATTCGGACTATTGTCCTCATCTTTGTCATATATTTATCACAACGTTTTTTGGCCGTTATGCGCTCCGGCCTTCTTCAGGTGGTTGGAATGTCGAACTGAACCCTTTATTTCGCTCACTGGGGTAGACTGTTCTAGTTCCACGTGCCATGTTTTAATGGATGTCAGTTATCAGTTATCTCCTGTTAATTTCCCTCTAAAAGTTCTCCATTGCCTTAACATGGCACGAACTCACAGTCTACCTCAGGCGGTGGAAGGGTTCAGTTTGACATTCCAACCACCTGAAGAAAAAGCGCATAACGGCCAAAACGTTGTAATAAATATGGCAACAAAGATGAGGACAATAGTCCAAATAATGTATCATTTGAAATATTGTTATTTCATGTGGATTTATTTATTTTTTACAAATTTATACATATAAATTCTTTTGTAGATTATCCAGTCATACAGTTTTGGTGTCAGCGGAACTTATTTGGCTGGAAGTTAAAATATGTTGGATGTACATGGGTAAATATTTGTCTTTCAATGGAAACTGGTGATCAAATTATTTGGTTGGATATTGTACACCTCTAACTTCTTAATTTCTTTACCTACCCACCTATTAAAATGTCCCTACAAATCAGCACTGATTCTCACATTCTGTCATGTCATTAGACAAGAAATTAAAAAAAAAATAATTTGAGTTAAACTAAATATAAATGAATAAAAAAAAATCAGTTGGATCTTTTAACTTTTTTAAATATTAATTCACACCAAAATATAAAGATATTTTTATATTTACTAAAATTCACACCAAATTCTCCCTGATTCTCTCTGATTCGATTGACCTTAGTGATCACCCCAAATGTGGGCAACTTGGGTGTGCTGTTCCTAAGTGTGGGGATCTATGGTCACACTCGTCCTGATAAACAAGCCAAAAACAGATTTTTTTTAAAACTGTAAAAACCTACCTTGTAAGTACCTCAAATATTATCCACACTTACAAAATGTGAATAACTCCCTGATTTTTGGTAATTTTTCATTCTGAGGGTTGGAGTTGTAGCAAAGCAAGCTAAACAAATTTTGATTTAAAATTAATAATCTCTTGGGGTGAATTAATATTTGTGATAAGTAACTTTACATTATTCGGGGTGATTTTTTTTGTTTCTTTTTTTAGTTAGAATCACCCCAAGCAAAGCAGTAATGCCATTAAAATACAAGGGGTTACAGGGTGTGGAAGAATTAGGAACAGAAACATTAATGATGAACAGAAAAAGAAGAGAGTAATCAGGTGAATAGTAGATAGTAATTGATATTGCATTTTAATTTTTGCAGATTAAAGTTGGCTGGAAAGCATGGAGCCAAAAGGGAGTTCCACAAGCGAGAAGTGCAAGAAAAGAAATTGTCAGCATAGAATTTATGGCTACATCTAGCTAGCTCAACTATAACTTGATGAGATTTCAACACCAGTCTAGTGCTTCACTTATTCAATAAGACATGTCTTTATATATATATATATATATATATATATATATATATATATATATATTATTTATTTAAAAATGATTTATTTAAAAATGATTCCTTCGCTACATAAGAGCTCTTATGTAGCGAAGGAATCATATTTTTAAATAAATAATTATATTTAGGCTCTACTTTTGTATCGAGCACTGTTTTTTAAAAATAAAAACAAAAATACTAAAGAACTTCGGATTGTTTACCTAACAAGTTCTTTCCTATTTTCTATATATTTTCACACACGCACACACACACACACACATATATACAGGACCAGATTTTGACATTTTGTAACCACTAGGCTAATGAAATTATGGTGACACCCTCTAACTTGCCCTTTTTACTTGTGATATTTTGGGGCACCATTTACATAGTTTGAAGTAAACTTATTGAAAATTCTTTAAATAAACTAGAATAGCAATCTTTTGTTTGTGAATAAAAATATTATTTAAGAAATACTACTATTTTACTATTTATTGCAAACCAAATTAGAAAATATTTCAACACAACCATAGTTAAAAAAAAAAAAAATTTTTTTAGAACCACATTTATAACATCTAGAAGATTAAAATTATTGTGTTATAAATGCTTGGCTGCAGTCTATATGAGGCAAAAGGATAATCCAGCACTAGAAACACACACACTCACATATATTTGTCACTCTTGTTCAAGCCAGACTGATGTTTGCCTTTTTGACTCCACTGTAAACTGAACTGATATCTCTTTTTTTATTTTATTCTGGTGTATACCAGGTCTATGTCTCCCTTTTTGATTTAATGGAAATGGTATTGATATCTACTTTTGAACTCTAGTGTAAACTGTACTGATGTCTACTTTTGAACTCTAGTGTAAACTGTACTGATGTCTACTTTTGAACTCTAGTGTAAACTGTTCTGATGTCTACTTTTGAACTCTAGTGTAAACTGTTCTGATGTCTATTTTCTGTTTACGCTTGTGTATGCTAGACCTATATATAGGTTTTGACTCTAGTAGAAATTAACGTGAAGTCTACTTTTTTGATACTTACAGTAAACTGTACTTATGTCTACTTGATAAAAAGGACAGAGAGAGAGAGAGTGTGTGTGTGTGTGTGTGTGTGTGTAGAGTGGGGGGTAACTTTATGATATTTACATTTCAAATGCTGTTAGATTAGTTAATGTAAACTAGATTGATAAACAAGTTCTTTGTCTATCTATTAATTCATTGTGATTTTTTTTCTATAAGACTTACATTCAATATTAAATAACTCAACAAGCCTTGATATATCATTAAATTAACTAACTGAAACCTTTTTATTCAGGCGTGTCTTATAGTTAAATGGAAGGTAATCGTCTGATTTTCAAACTGTTTTAAACATCAGCAAAGATTTTTTTTGTTATCCTAACCATGAGTGCAATAGAAAAAAACTGTTAGCATAGAACTTAGTTATGTCTAGCCATTTCACCTGTAAAATGCTGATACCTTACTGTCAATCTAGTACTGCATTTAAATTCATAAAGTCTAGATACCATAGAGAAAAGTAATATTTATTTTGAAAATACAAAAATGTGGTACAAGGCCAATAGGGGAGATGAGGGAAGGCTGATCTTCCATCTGTCTTATTTTAAACTTAACTAGCCACAATTTCTGACCCAAACATACCACAGTATTCCTTACGCCAAAACAATACATTCTTACTTATCATTTTTACTACAATCACCGTAATACCTCAAAGTCTCTATGAAATCCTAGTTATGTACAATTTGTCTGGGAGGGGAGAATAAAACTAATGACTTTCTACTATATACCATAAAGGAAAGGTCATCAGAACAGTTACCATGAAAGTATTTATAGAAAAGGCATTGGGAAGTTATATTATGGTGGTCGGGAAAATGACTGATGCCAATTCAGTACCAATAACATTGCAGATTCTTCTGTGGATATTATCAGGAATTTCTAAATATATTTTAATATACTAAGCATGGACGAATGGTAGATTTATAAATATGTTTGATAGATTTGGGTGCAAAAAATTGTCTAGCATGTCATGAACCAACTTTCTTAGCAGATTGATTCAATATAATTTATTGATTTTTTTTTCTTTGTCAGCAGAATTGAAAAAGAAAGGGATTCTTGGAATAAAAGCAATTCACAAGTTTCTACTACTACCAAAGATTGAAGAAGAACGTAGATTTATGTAAAAATTATACAGATGAGTAACAATGTCAGAAGTAAGAACCAAAATTATTTTCTTCCATTTTTATTTTGTATTTTTTGTCTTGATTTTTAGTTTTTTTCATCAATCCTCCCATATATATATATATATATATATATATATATATATATATATATATATATGCAAATGGGTCAGTGAAAGGGTCACATACCTCCAAAACAAAATCTATGATACCCCCCACTGACTCTACTACATCTCAATTTTCATAAGGTGGTATTCATATAAAATAGAAATTTTATTGTAATCTAATTATGTACAATAATGGGCCATATACAATATAGGTGAACAATTCAAGTAGAAAAATTTGAAAATAAATACAATGTATCTAAATACAAATTAGAGACACATCATAATAGATCATTCCATCTTGAATAAATCAATGTTTTGTGGCAGTTTTTAACATCGACTTGAGATTTTTCTTGTTGAAAAGTTGAATGATTCTAACACATTCAGTATTATAGATAAAAAGTGAATTTTATATAGCATTTTTTCAAGACTGAGAAAATAACCTCCTATACATTTCAAAAAAGATGTGTTGTTGTTAAATGTTTGGAATCCCGACACTCAGATAGCAATAAAACCTGGGTAGATCCCAACAAACTAAATTCCTTAGTTCCACCAGTTCTGAGGTTCATGGCTAAGAACTGCCATGCCACACACATTGTAGTGAACCACCCTCATACACCCATTGTATTCCATTGGTGAAATGTAAGTTCCAGTTGAGCAAATTCTTCTCACAGAATATTACTTTGTGGAATTGACTCCCGAGAGGATGCTTCCCCGACCACTACAATCCTAACCTGTTCAAGTCTAGGGTCAACTGTTATCTTCCCCACATATCCCCATAAACAGTGCTACTTACTCTGTAACCTTCTACCTTCAGTGGCTCTTGGGTCTTGTACAGGGTGAAGATCCTTGTAAAGAAAAAAATTAACTTTAACATAAAAGTAGTAATGGTTGATGGTAATAATGATTTACTAAGATTAGCTTAGTTCAGCACAGGACTACCAAGAACAGCCACCCACTATAAGTCTTGGATTTAGGATACAGGGGGTTCCTAAAGTCTGGACACATAGGCCAAAATATTTCTTTCCAAGAAATTAGATTTTCAACAACATTTTATTGAATTGGAATATTAACAAATAACATCTTCAATATGATTTCCGTCATTTGCGATGCAAAGATTGATGCACTTTGCAAGATTCACATGAACTCCAAAAAATTTTCACCCTATTTTAGGGTGTATAGACACCCTAAAATAGGGTGAAAATTTTTTGGACACATCTACAGTATATGATATTCCATCTGCTGGTGAGGGAGGTTTAGAATCTGTCTATCGAAGATAAGGAATCTTATTATTCTATATATATAGGCATATAGCTTAATAATTAAAAACAATTATTTTGTATAAATATTTAATTACAACTGAATAGTGAGTTCGATCCTCATTGGGTACCCCATATTTATTTCTGGCCTTGTGCCACATCTAAACTACACTTAGAAAATGGCCATATCATTCCCTGCATTTAGTCTATTTCTATACATAGTTTGATTGGTCTGTTTTCTATGGTTTATCAGCTTTTTTTGCAGGTTATTTAAAGCCAGAAAATATATTTGATTGTAAGAATTTATTTGGCAATAGTGATACAAGTCTTACTAAGTAACTCATAGGGGGAGAAGCGGTAGATTCATACTTTTCCCAAGGGTATTTGTGTGTAAATGAATATAATGAATCCAACAGGAATTGGATCCCTTCTCTTTAATTAACAATCCTGAGTCGTTATCCATTACACCACCTGCACATCCAAGCTTACAGCATCTGGTATTTCCAAGCAATCATCCATCCAGTTACTGACCAGCTTCAATGTTGCTTAACTTTGATGATCCTATGTAAGCTATTAATATAAAGCAAAAAGAGGGTAGGACTGAGGAGAAAAACTTGGATGACGCTTACAATGAGCTCATGGGCTTCATATGACTGGAGATTAAGATCAAACTTCATGGATTCCAACAGGGACGACTTGATAATTGTGAAGATTCTACCAGATTTTTGTATATTTTTCAACAATTGAAGAAAAGAAAAAAAAAAAATATCTCTATGTCATTAATAAGTTCTTCCATTAATAATTCCACAGATGTGATTTTTCTAAATTTATTTCTCCATCTTGTTTTCCTCAGGGTGCTCCAGTATTTCCTTCTGCCCCGTCATCAGACGAATCTCTTATTTCCCAGCCCATCATAATCCTGACCATATCCATTGCAGTATATTTGGTGCTGTTTGTCATCATCGTCATGGTACGCCAGTGCTTACTTGTATGTATCAATATCTCTTCTTATTCGCTTTTGCTGCATTAGGCCATTTGGAAAATAATGTCCAATTTTAGAATAAACATTTAAATTATGTTCTAATATATTCTTATAATAGTTGCACAAAAATAAATTACTCATTCATAATGATTACAGTGTCCTCTTTGTTAATTTTATATCAGTCTCTTTCAGAATTTAACTTCAAACGTTTTACAAGGTTTGATCAAAAAGTATCAGGTCCAGTGCTATAAAAAGAAAACTCAAAAAAATAAGCATATAATAAAAAGAATACTAAGCATTTAATCTCCTTCAAAGCAGCCTCCTTCTGAAGCTACATACTTTATCTGACATTGCTTCCATTGATGGAAGCAATCCTGGAACTCCGTTTTTGGGATAATGAGCAGCTGCCTCATCACATTCTCATGGAATTCTTTGACATCTTGTTTCTTTCAAGTGGGATTTGATTTTTGAAGGAGAAAGTCACAAGCATCAAATTCTGAGGAGTATGGTGGTTGTTGGACCTGGATAATGTTGTACTTAGCCAAAAACAGCCTTTGAGAAAGAATGAAAGAACCTACTTTTACTTGCCCCACAAGCATCTTTGGAACATAGAGTAATTTTTTTTTTTTTTTTAAAAAGTCCCCTTTAACTTCATACAGTTGGTGCTTTGGAAAATTTCTTAGAATTCCTTCTGATCTTGGCTGTCCAACTACGAGAAAATTTTCACTTAAACTTTTGGTCTCTCTGCAGCTGGCCTTGATGTTCGCTTTTTGATGTCAAATGCCGTCTTTGATGTTGACAACCTGCCTTCTCCACTTGCTGTCAAAAATCATCCCCTACCTCTATTGACCTGAGCCATATTTTATTTTAAAAATTAGGCCCATTTCTGCCTCACTATTCGGGTTGTTACTAGAGCTTGAGACCATGTCTTTCATTTGTCAGTACATATGAAAAAATAATTTTCTGTAAACTGGAAATAGATCCATCACAAATTATGGTGAGTTTCAACCACTGACCCAAAAAGGTCATAAAAATGTAACAATTTTTACACGAACTGTCTGACCTTCATAAAAATATACTTCTCTCAAAAAACGTGTATTAAAAAAAAAACAACCTAGATGATTAAATAATAAATATTAATGCTAACATTTTTTAAATAAAATTTTTATAGTTTCCTTTGTTTATGGGAATTAGATTTTTTTTATTTCATGTGATCGCAAGATCACAAAATATATATATATATATATATATATATATATATATATATATATATATATATATGTTACTAAACATTATTTTATTAAAGAGTATTTATTTTCCTAGGATAATGCAAGTTGAATCAGGTTATGTGTTTATATATGTGTGTGCATATCCATTTATATACAAAGATAAATCAATATATTTGCACAGTAGAAGTGTTTGTTCAAAATAGCTGAGAATTAGGAAGGCAGTAGTTAGTGAGAAGGAACTCCTCAAATCCTACTTTAATGTGTCTACTTGCCATATTTATAAGTAGGAGCTGTCCATTGTTACAGTAATAGGGAAGAGCAGGAAATACACTAAGTCCTACTATAAAACAAGAGGGAAAAATGGGCTGACAACATGAGTGGATTGGAATGGAAGATCATTCACAGAGACTTGGACATTGACATGCAACAGAGAGCTATGGAGGGAGCTGGTCAGGTGCTCAGACCACATCAGGTCATGGAACTGCGGATGATGATAATGATAAGTATTTTGTGCACACTGATGATTAAAAATTTAGGTGATAAAAATTTGCTAATAATCCCTTAGTAAACCCTTTAATGTTTAAATTACTATCAATTATTTTTTTTGTCTTTCAGCAACGTGGCTTTTGTGCTGAGTGTTTCTTGTGTGGGAAAGAAAATGAGCCAACCTGTTTGAACTGCTGCGCTATCCTTTCTGAGTCTTGTCAATGTAATATTCCCACAATTGAATCCTGTTTAGATACATGCTGTCCAAAGAGGAAGGTAAGTATCAAGAGTTTTCTTTGTTTGATTAATCCTCAGTAAGTACTTTGTCATTATCATCTTAAAGGAGTTGCTTGAAAAAAGTAAGAAATATTTCTTTTTTGCTTCTCCCCCACCCTCCACTCTACAAGGCCCACATTAGGTGTTAGTATATCCTTATATACAAACACGTTAACACAATGGAAGGAAAACCTGGAATAATTCGAAGAAATTAATTCTAAAAATGAATTGTGTATGAAAACATTTTATATACAGCACGAGAATATACTGATATGTTGTACAAAAATGTTATACATATATTTTAGATTCAAATATAGACACAACGAATATTTATATACAGACTCAGGTATAAACCTGACCAATATTTACCCATAGATGTAATTATAAACCCAACTAATGTTTACCTACAGACAAGTATAAACCCCACACATGATTATAGAGTCAAGTATAAACACAACAAATGATTACCTACTGGGATAAATATAAACACAGCCAATTACAGGTTGAGATAAATATGACTAATGTTTAACTACAGACTCAAGTACACACACATGTAATATTTACCTATAGAGTTGTGTATAAGTATAATCATTGTTTGCCAACAGACACCAGTATAAACCCAAGCAATGTTTACCTATAGACTCAAGTATAAAACCGACCAATGTTTACCTATGGACTCAAGTATAAAACCGACCAATGTTTACCTATGGACTCAAGTATAAAACCGACCAATGTTTACTGATGGACTGATCAATATTTGCCTTTTGACTCAAGTACAGACTTGACTGATATTTACCTAAAAACTCAAGTATAAATAAAACCAATGTTTGCCTATACACCCAAGTATAAACCTGCCTAATGTTTGTCTATTGACTAAGTATAAATCTAACCAATATTTATCTATAGACTTGAGTATAAATATGACCAATGATTACCTATAGACACAAGCATAATCCTGACCAATGATTACCTATAGACACAAGCATAATCCCGACCACTGATTACCTATAGATGTGAGCATAACCATGACCAACGATTACCAATAGACTGGAGCATAATCCCGACCAATGATTACGCATAGATGCGATCGTAATCCTGACAAATGATTATCTATTGACACGAGCATAATCCGGACCAATGATTACCTATAGATGCGAACATAATCCCGACCAGTGATTACCTATAGATGCGAGCATAATCCCGACCAGTGATTACCTATAGACGCGAGCATAATCCCGACCAGTGATTACCTATAGATGCAAGCATAATCCCGACCTGTGATTACCTATAAACGCAAGCATAATCCCGACCAGTGATTACCTATAGATGCAAGCATAATCCCAACCAATGATTACCTATAGATGTGAGCATAATCCTGACCAATGATTATCTATTGACACAATCATAATCCTGACCAATGATTATCTATTGACACAAGCATAATCCCGACCTGTGATTACCTATAGACGCGAGCATAATCCTGACCAGTGATTACCTGTAGATTCTAGACGATGTGTTTTGCTGAATGTCTATTGCTTTTGGCTTCTTCAGATTAGAACGAAACAAATCTATGAGCCTCTGTTATCCTCAAAAATCTTAACACATTTTACTTACAGTTTTGTTTTTCATTTTGATCTGAAGAAGCTGAAAGCAATAGACATTGGGCAAAATGCATCCTTTATAGTTTTACCACTTTGTCTCATCTCCACTTTTGTTTTGAACACTATTAGTATTATACGTCCTACAAACACACATATAGACTCTATTATAATAAAGAAGAAACAGATGTTAGCATTTAGACAAGCAAGTCTTGGAAAACAAAATCTACTAAGCCGTTCTCTTTGGATTTACCTTGTTAACAGGATATTTACATGTTTGCTTAGTATGTCCGTTGTCAGTCTTCTGGTCAAAATTTATAAATTATGATTTGTTTTAAAGTTGCTAAACTCTCTCCACAATGAAGATTAGTCCAGTATGATCTTCCTCTTCCTCCTCCTCCTCCTCCTCCTCCATAATTTCCATATTGGCTTTGTGTCAGGATGTAGTAAGCTAAAAGGATATTTACAGTTCTCCTTTGATGTTCGTGAGTGACTCGGGCATGAACTCCAAATCCACAAGTAACTTTTTAACTTCTCCAGAAGTCGATAGTGTTTTAAATTTACAAAAACGGATAAAGAGTGACCACTTTCCAACACAATTTGTTTATTTTTTTTCAATATTTACAAAGCGAGAATAAGGAAATATCTTTAAAAAATGATAAAAACAGAAAGTTATAGCCCTCTCCCAAACTCAAATAAGTTTCTTGGTGAATTATGTTAGCATACTTAGAAGAAAACAATGCTTCATGAAAAAAAAAAAAAAAAAAGATTTAAAAAATTTAGATGTTTTGAAAAACAATACATTTTATAATGATTATTGCAAAAAAATTCTTATTTAAAATAAAACATTTAAAAACCCAAATTAAAATAAAGTTACAATTTGCTTAGCTAATCCCTAGATTCTACATGTTTTTCTACACCGTGGCTCAATATCTGGCTGTCATCTTTCTTTCTCTAAATGATTCCAAACAAAAAAAAAGGAATAGACTGTATTTGGGATCATTGAGCCAATGCAAATGATCCTTTCTTTAGCTGCTTCACCAGGGCTACAAACAGTTTTGAATTTAGAGTTTTCCTCCTCCTCCTAGACCAATTGCCACCCTAGGCTATAGAACCCAGTCTGTCCTGTTATTTACCCATCGCTGGGAGAGAAGAAATGGATTCATATCTTTCCCAAGGGTATTAGCAAGAAAGTGAATGTATTGAACTCAACTAGAATTAGAAATCGGCTCACCAATTCCTCAATCTAAGCCGCAGTCCATTCCACTCAAATACAAAGAAATAAGAGAATTCATAAAATATTGCTATTTATTTTAATTTTTCCCAGTTGTTATTCTTATTTATGGGTGGAAGGTGTTAGGGAACCATGAGTCTTAGGTGTTTCTGTTTTCTTTCAGAAAGTACATTCTAATTTCAGTTTACAATAACTAAATTTTTATGCAAAATTAAAGAAATTAATTTACAATTACTAATTTTTTGTGTAAATTAAAAGAATTTCTTTTTTTTTCTGGGAGGAAATGGGAAAAGAGAGAATGTTCCCTTTCTGTTTTTTTTTTTTTTTTTTTCCCCCAAGCAAGGTGGGGAAAGCCACTAGTATGCAGAGGGTTACAGAGAGTGAAGGTGAGAGAAAATATTGTGTATAGGAGGGACTGAGGAAAGGATAAAAATGAAATGGGGTTCAAGAAGATAGAAGATGGCAATTGATGTTGCATTTAAATTTTTGAAGATTGTATTTATCAGGGAAGTAAGTAAATGGAAGGAAGGTGGGAAGTGCAATAAAAGAAAACTGTTGGAGTCAAAGTGGCGGTTACATTTAACTAATTCAAGAGTAAAAGGGTGGGATATGGATGTCAATCTAGTATCATGCTTAAACTCATGTAGTCTGGGCACCAGGGAAAAAATGCTTGTCAGAGCAGTAGCCATGAAAATATTTCTAGAAAAGACAGATGGAACCCATGTCACGTTGGTGAGAAAGTGACGGAAGTTGAGATGCCAGGTCAAGATCAATTACATTGCAGATCCTTCTTTGGATTTTGTCAAGAACTTCAAGATGAGTAACAGGAGCACCTGATCAGATATGGCAAGAGTATTTAATGCATGGGTGAATGGTATATTTGTAAATGTGAAAGACGGACTGATGAGAAAAACCTTCTGGCATGACACAGTGACGCACTTTCCTTGTAGTAGATGCAGCTATTGATTTGATGTAGTCATTCATCTTCAAGTCAGTTGAAAATGTGAGTTCAAGAAGGCACAGTGTGCTGCTCTCCATGAGTCTAACATCAGTCATGCTGATGGTGGGCAGGAAAGTTTCTCGATGGTGGTTAAATGAGAGCAGTTTTGTTTTAGAGGCATTAAAATTTATGAGCCATTTCCTGTTCCAGTTAACCACAGATTTAGAGGTCTTTTTCAAGAGCAGCAACCAGTTTAGCTTTGTCAGCTCTGATGGATTTACTATTGAGACAGGAGTAAATGGTAGTGTCATCAGTATAAATGCCTACTTGGGAACTGATGACATCATGAAGATCATTGATGAAGATCAGAAACAGCATAGGAATCAGGATAGAGACTTGGAGGACACCTGCATTCATGTGAAAGGACTAGGAAGCAAGACCATTCAAAACAACCTTCATTTCATGATTTGATAGGAATGGCTGGATTAAATCAAAAAATAGTCCAGTAATATTGTAGCCCTGGAGCTAATATAGAAGACCTTCATGCCAAACCCTGCCAAGATGCCTTTGAGATATATAGAACCACAGCTCAACCTTCACCGTTATCATCAAGAGCTTGATATACATATTCAGTGATGGTTGTTAGCACGTCAGCGGTAGACCTGGCAAAACAGAAGCCATATTGTTTGTCAGAGAGTAGGTTGTGAGAGGTAAGATGCTTAACCATTTCAGCATTGATTAAAGCCTTGATTACTTTGCCAAAATGTGGTAGGAGATTAATAGGTGATAGTTACAAACAGGAACTACAGAGGAGGACTTCTTACAAGCAGGAAGCAGCAAGGGACATCACAAAGGAAGTCATAGAATGAGTCTCAATCTGCATGTTGATAACAGAAAAATATTCTGTTCGTGGGAGGTTCTTAGCTGGTAGGGGAGTAAAAAGAGATGTTTACAGACATGACTGCATGATCAGAGTTGCCAAGAGGGCAGAGCTGCATAGTATGACATGAATCCGGGATAAAGGTAAAAAAGATCTAGAAGAGAAGTGTGCCCATCAGGGTTACTGGGGGAAATGCATGGGGAAGTCCATCACTTGCATAAGAGATTGAGTGATTGAGAAGTCAAAGGTTTGGATGCCAGTGGGGTCAGTGACAGTGTTTAAGCCACCTGGCATGATGGGCATTAAAGTCACCAAACACAAATATATTTGCAAACTGTTTTAGGGAGATGGCTTCTTCTATATTATCAGAAATACTGTCTAGCATGCAACAGTCATGAGAGGAAGGGGAATGGTAGAGAACGAAGAGATAGCTGAGTTAAATAGAGACAAATAGAGACACGTGTAAGAGTGGTGTGGAGATTCAAGAGAGAATTCCCTAGCCAGCAGGAGATGTCCACGGACATAAACTCCCAGGCCATGCATGAGGACATTAGAGTCCTTCCAAAAGAGAGGCAAATAGCCAAGAATGAAGAAATCATCCAAGTAGTGGATTTAAGAGTTAAGATAAGTTTCAAAGGAAGCTAGGATGTCTGAAGATTTTTTGAAGAGGAATGATTCCACACTGCAGAAGTTGGTATGAGTTCCACGAATGTTGGAGAAAGAAAGATCAAGGGGTTTAGGTGATTTTTGATGAGCTGGTTTAGATTTATATCTTTGGTATCTTATAGTGTGTTGTTTTGGTAAGGAAAAGCCTAGGGTAGTAGTAGCAGTCAGTCGTCTAATGTAACATGTGCAGGAAGAGAACTGGCAGAGACTGCAACATAGTGTGGCCTCAGAGTTGCCTAACGGAGGTGCTTGCAGGGGCACCTTTCCATGTGTGACAATATTTAGTCCCCCCTCCCCACGAGGGCATCATGTGGCACAAGGCCTTTTTAACGTGGGCTCTCTGAGCCCGTGGGCTCGGCCAAAAATATGCCCATTGAACCCGTATAAACGGGTTCAGGGTCGGTTTACCTCCCCGAAAGAATCCGCCCTTCGGCGTAGCCTCTTTCGGGTTCCTCCCTGCCCGAAGGCAGAGAGTTCAACCAATCTGTCATTCAAGACTTGACATGTCACTGCAAAAACCCTGATATTAATGAAACTGTTGATGAGAGCAGCCTCTCAAGACACAACACAAGAGTTCAGGATACTAACTCCAAGTCAGGAACAGCAACCAGAAAACTGCCAACCTGGTACCCTCAGTATGAAGTGATATTACCACCATCCACATATATCACAAAAAATTCATGACAGCACCACTATTAAAGCCTGAGTAAAGGAAATAAACTGGGAACTGCTTCCTAAACATGAAACAAGATATGAGCCTCTATTCCTGTTGAAGAGAAAGGGGAGAAGTATGGACTGGGTGATAGGAAAGCCTATCTACAACTAACAAAAAAAAACAAACAAACAAAAGAGTCCTGGTTTTGATTTCCAGTTATTTCGAGGAATGAACATTCAGATAACTAATTTTGGAGAGTCAATCAGCGACCATGGATCTTTTGACCATGCAATGTTTAACTGACATTTTATTGTATTAGGAAGGAGAGGGGGGAATAGGAAGTAGGGGTCTGTCTATAGAATTTTATAGGAGATGGCGCATCAATTGCTTCTTTTCAATATTTAGATTTGACACTATATGGACAGAGTAGGCTGACATCAGTTCAATGGCGCTTTCATACAATTATGGAGACTTTGAAGTGAATTTTTCTGGTACCATCTTTCACTTGGGATGGGAGGTGATGGCTGGTAGGTGGGTGTGAAGGACTGCTTTACTTTCAGCTTCCATCAAAGGAATTTGAGTTCTTAGGCTACCAAGAACAATGAATCAACCACAAACGAGTAACACTTGATATGATATATATATAATATATATATATATATAAAATTAGTGGTCAGGACATACATATATATATATATATATATATATATATATATATATATATATATATATAAAAAATTAGTGGTCAGTACATACATATATATATATATATATAAATTCCCAAGAGGATAGAATCCGGGTAGAACTCAATGTCCAGTACAAAGTAAGAATATAATATAAAAGGCTCAAACACTAATATTCCATGGTTATAATTTATTACATTGGAATTGTAATCATGATTCAATTCATCAGACCTACACATTCAAAAAGAAATTGGAAAATATAACTCCAGGTATAAAAAACAAAATTTTAGTGAGAGTGTATGTGTGGGAGTAGGAAACAAGTGTGAGAGGGAAATGTATAAAAGCTCTAGAGAGAGGGTGTAACAGAATAAAGAAGAACAGGAAGGCCTAAAGGTGAAGGTGGGGATTAAAATTTAACAGAGAGAAGTTTTAAAGAGAGGAGTTAAATAACAGTTTAAATGAGTGACATACAAATAAATAAGAATTATTTTCGGATGCATAAATCACTAACGATTCTCTGGCCTAAAATTAAAAAACAGACACTGGAAACATGTGGATACATTTGTGATGACTAATACGCAAAATAAAAAACAATATGATCTAAACTTAAAATCCAGCCAATTCATACTACCGATGCATATGTGAAAATTTTCTGTCTGCTTTGCATTACTAACCTTATGTATACAAGAAAAGAGAAGATGAAAGAGAGAGAGAGAGAGATGATGATATATATATATATATATATATATATATATATATATATATATATATATATATATGGACACACAATTGAATGAAGCAAATTAAAATGCAAGTTTGAGTTTTTTTAAGTTATAACTTAGTATAAGTCCAAATATCCACTTTATTTGGAGACTGTTATCCCTACTCAGTTACCCACTCAGGATGGACTCCTATTAAAATGTAGTATCGAGAATTGACAGTAAATAATGTACTAGTACCGCAGTTATGTCCACATACTTGCAAACATATGTACACAAGCACAAGCCTAGACAAGTATTAAGATAAAATTAATGTCACATCAATCAAACAGCATCATCTGATAAACACATTTTATTTCAACTAAATCCACATTTAAAAAAGATTTTTAATCTGATTTTATTTCTTATTAATATAAACCCACTAAAAATGATGTTTGTATTAATGTGTGTGTACAGGAAAGACAAGGTTCTGTAGCCTTGGTTGGTAACCAAACTAGGATAAGGACAATTTGGAATTCAAATCCGGAGTCCTTAAGACAGTCCAATGCCATGTTCAATTTCGTTTTGGCAACTCCTGCAATGACACCAGTGTCAAGCTGTATTGGTTTCTTCTTTTCCCTTGGACAACATTGGTGGCATGGAGAGGGAAGATGTGCTGAACGGGCAGCTGCTGATCTCTCAGAAAAAAAACAAAAAAACTGCACCCTGAAGAGGGCATAACTTTTCGGGCACAGATCTATGTTCTCTCATGGCTGACAGATGCAAAATCGATAGTGAAATCCACAGAAACATGGTTCATGTTAATTATATGTATGCTTGATTTATTTTAGTGTATTTTTTTTTTACTTCAACTGTGCTGTTTTTTAAATTAGATTTTATTCATTTCAGTTCATGAGAAATATATTTAATTTCAAGTCTCTTTTTATGTTCCATTAATCTTTTTGTTGAATTCTGTGCCGTTTCTCTGATTTGGGGCCATGTTGTTTTGTATAGACTCCTACGTCTGATGTAAAGTTCGCCTTTTTTTATTTTTATTTTAACCATCTCACCCCAAGCAAGGCCATAAAGCCACTAAAACACAAGGCCTAACTAAGTGTAAGAGAATATAAACAAAGAAAAACATTATTAAGGAGAGAGAGAGAGAACAATAAAAGAACAAGAATTAAGGAGACAGAAGATTGACACTGCATTTAAATTTCTGAAGATCGAAGTTAATTAGAAAACAAGAAAATGGAACAGAGTTCCATAAGCAAGAATTATGAGAGAACAACTGTTAACAAAGAATGGTTACATCTAGCCAATTCAACTATAAAGTAATGAGACCTAACTGCCAATCTAATATTGTGCTTAAATTTGTAAAGTCAAGGCATAAAAGTGGAAAACTCATCATTACGATGAAAATATTTATAGAAAAGGCACAAGGAAGCTACATTATGCCAGTGGGAAAGTGATCGAAACTGAAATGCCAGGTCAGCACCTGTAACATTGCAGATTCTTCTTTGTATTTTATCAAGAATCTCTAAACACATAGCAGAAGCACCAGAACAGATGTAACAGCAATATTCAATGCATGGACAAATGGTAGGCTTATATATGTGCAAGATTGACACTGGCCAGAGAAATTGTCTAGGACGACATATAGCAGCAGACACTATATTTTCCATGTCTAAAATTTGATTTGATTTAAATTTTCATTGAGAAGTAAGATATAAAAAAAATGTGTGATCCCTTTTCTTTTCTTTTTCCCCAGCAAATGGATTGTGTGGATATCATTTTGTGTCAATGCTGTGCTGGGGCTGATTATGGTAACATATGCAATGTAAGTGTCAGGTTTTGTTTTTCCTTTTTCACTTTTATTACGTTTTTTGCTATTAAAGAACTGAGAAAAATTTAACTGGTTGTTTTGCAACTTGTGAGGACTTGGTAAGGAAAGAACAATGTGACAGATATATAAACATCCACCCCAGAGAGGACAGTCTCTTACATCCATGCAAGAATGTAGTCCAAATTTGGAGATGTCCCTAAGGCCTGTCACACAAAGTGGTGGGAAGATCTTACTAATTGTGGTGGGGGTCAGAATTTTTCTCAGTATATAATACTGGTTATTATATACTGAGAAAAATTCTGGTGGTCTTAAAAGTGAGAGCCAGAAAATTGTTTAAAGGATCAATAACTTTGAATTTAAGTAAAGGAACTTTTTTTTTTTTTTTTTTTTTTAAGAGTTTTATTTTCTTTTTAAAAAATTATCAAAGAATGAATCATGTTAAATTTATTAATTGATTAGTTCTTTTTATACGGCTTTGCAGGTTATTTAAAGCCAGAAAATATTTTTAGATTGTAAGAATTTTTTTTATATATATATATATATATATATATATATGTTATAACCTAGAGAGGGTTACTGAATGAGGCATAACCAAAATGGAGGTTGGAAATGAAATGGTAATCTTTATAACATCAACAAAATACAATACTTGCCAGCGACGTGAAGTAGGTAAACCACTGCTAGTGATGGACTACTTATTACTCCCATACTTATTACCCCCACTTACAGTAGAGCCCAATATATTCATGAGGATTGGGACATACCCATTAGTGTTCATAGGTACAGTATATAACGGTATAATAATGGTTTAGTGATACAATCCTTACTCACCCATAACTGGGGGGAGATGAGGTGGATTCATACCTTTCCTAAGGGTATTTGCATGTAAGCGGATATAGTGAACCCATACATCCAAGCTTACAGCACCTGGTATTTCCAAGCAGTCACCCATTTAGATACTAATCAGACTGGAGGGTAATTTTGGTAATAATAAAAAACAATTCAGTCTTAAAAGGATACAAGTAAAACCTTGAAGGAACTATAATAATTACTGTTTTCTTTTTTGAGCTCTGTGGATAAATGTGAAATTAATAGATTAATAATTGTCTTAATAAACTTGCAGGATTTGAGCAGCAGTTGTAAAATTTCCTCCATAAAAATAAACATCTGCATTTAGGCTCCTAAGTAAGGAGTATGTAGGTTGAATAAAATGGGATTTTACGTACAAGAGATTTCATCTTGTTTTTTCATTAGCGGGCACAATGATAATGTAGCAGGCACACACACACACACACAATCACACACACACACACACACAAAATGCCTATGTGCGCGCGCGCACACACACACACACAAAATGCCTATGTGCGCGCGCACACACACAAAATGGCTATGTGCACGCACACACACACACGCACACACACACAAAATGCCTATGTGTGCGCACGCAAACACACACACAAAATGCCTATGTGCGCGCACATGCACACACACACACACAAAATGCCTATGTGCATGCATATGAATTGTGTGTGTGTGTGTACACACAATTCATATGCATGCAAATATGCACATACACAAATACACATTCAAATATGCACAAATGTGCACAAACACAAATTTACACACATGCACAGACTCCTCCCAAATACCCATTTGCACAAGCACACCCATACACACAAAGTGAGAGTGTTGAAGGTAGTATTTGAAAAATTCTCAGCTCAACACTTTTTCTAAAATCTGACTAAATAACTAAACATTGGCGTGTTTTATTTTTAAGTCTTCTCATCAAGCTGAGAACATTTTTTTTTTTATCTATACCTAATTTTTTATTGATCTGATTATGACAAATGTTTTCCTTTCTCTCTCTTTTTTTTTTTTTTTTTAAACTTTTCTAGTTTGGCAATTGCAAATGTGACTGTGGTTGTGACCCCGGCTGTAACCAGATCAACTGTTTGTGTTTTCAATTGAATTTCATGGATGAAACGGCTCAGATGGCTGAAGCAATATCAAGCAGACCAATGATAACTTGATTCTAGAACAATATTCTCCACTGCCAGTTGCTAATATTTTTGAAGTCATGCAACATTCTTCCAATCGCATACAAATGAAGAAATTATTTTAATTGGAATGTTATAAAAACTAAAGAAAAAAATGTGTATACTATACTATATTTAATAAGGAACGTATAAAAATATGTTCAAATTTAATAGAGGAATAAAAATGTATTTAAATGGAATAAAATTGAATATAAAAAACGTGTATACACACACACACACACACACACACAATGTAAGAGTGAACAAGGAGGTGCTGAAATGTTCTCAGTTGAAACCTCTTTTCAGAATGTGACCAAATTATCAAATGCCAGAGGTTTTTTTTTTGTTTTCCCACACCAGTTCCATGATATCTTGACCTTAAAAAATAATATCCACCATTTCTAGTTGTTGAGATTTTTGAAGGTATGCAATATTTTTCCAGATGCATACTGTTTGGAGAAGAATTTCTTTCAGTGGAAATTTTATAAAAGCAAAACAAAAATGATGCTTGTATCTTATATATATTACTTTAAATGTTAATTTTATGAGATACCCATATTGGAGTAGACGCTTCATTTATTTTAAACAGTATTTTATTTCATCTACTGGCCTGAACAGTCAAGAAATTTTCTTAAAGAAAAATACACTCTGTGACAGGATTCGAACCAGCATTCTCTTTGCAGGAAAAACCATCATTTGATTCAATGTGCTTTTGACTACTTAGCTGCAAAGAGCTTCATGATCAAGCAAGGTTCTATCTAACTTTTAAGCACACTTTAAGCAATATATATAGATTTAAAAATTCAGATATAATTAAAAATATATCTGTAAAAGACAATATGAAAAAAGACGGAAAGAAAACTTATCTTAACCAATGTGTTTCGTCCTCTGACGGATTTTATCAAGACAAATGTAAGGATTTTATTTTGCAACATTTACAGTGGAACCTTGATTCATGAATTTAATTCATTCCTGAAGGCCATTCATAATCTGAAATGTTTGTAAATTGAAACTATTTTTCCAATAGGAATCAATGTAGAGAAAAAAAAAGTCACAGTCGAATAAAATTGGAAAAGAAAAGCAGAGCACAACACATGAATGTATACAACATGGCGATCAACTTAGAAATGATTCCATTCAGGTTAACTAAGTTCGGCAATATTGTTTGAAAACTAAAATTTTGTTCGATAACCAAGGCATTTTCATCTTGAATTTTCTGTTTGTTCAACATGTCAGATGTTTGAAAACCGAGGTTGCACTGTAATTATAAGTAGAAGTAAAAATATTTTTAGTTTTTCATAATTTTTTTTCTTAAGTCAACATACATGACTAAAAATTAAAAGAAAACAGTTAAATTCAAAACCTATTTTTTAAAATATGTAATGCATAAACTAATTCCTCAAACTAAAATAATATAAATAATAATTACATTATTAAAAAAACCAACATTTACTCATTTTCATTTATTAGGCATTAAATTATGTCACTTAGCATCTTCCATAATTTACCTAGATTTTATTAGACATTACATTACTTAGCATCTTCCATAATTTACTTTCATTTTCAGTTAACTTGATGGATATTTTTAAATGTTCTTAATTTTAACAATTTTGAAAAATTAACAACATTTTTGCTTCTTATTTTTACACACATATTGTTTGAGATAGATACCTGAAAAGTTAAGGATATTTTGAGAGAGATAGCATCTCCACATCCTCGTGGCTGATGAATTATTTTGTGCCATTGAATTTATTACAGAAGAATTTCTGAAAAGTTCAATAAAGTCTCATAATTATCTGATTTCTTTTGTTTAGGGTTTTAAATATTAATAGGTTTTTCTCCAATTTAGCAATCTTATTGTTCACCCTGTGGTAGGGGTTGTCCAGAATGAGTAGCAGGGGAATATCTTATTCCAATATCTTAGTCGAATTGTGTGGGTGTGAGTGCTGGAACAATTGTAAGTCGCTCTCATAAAACACAGACATACGCATCCACATAAATGTGCCTCATCCTTTGACTTGGTGTAATGATCAGCAAGCTTGTTTTTGCTTTGATCAGTTATCACTGGGTAGTGAATTATATCCTCACTAGGTGCTCTATACTTGCAGCCTTGCATCAAATCTAAGATACACTAATGGATATCACTCAGAATGAGAAATTGGTGTTTGAATTCTGGTCGGGTTTGTTACATTCACTTATGTAAAAATACTCTTTTTGGGAATGGTATGATGAATCCCTCTCTTCTCTCCATCCCTAGCCATGGTGGGGAGACAGGTTGAGTACTATAGCCTAGAAAGAAACTGTAACTTTATGAATTTAAGTGCAGTACTAGATTGGCGGTAAGGTCTCATCATTTTATAGTTGAAATGGCTAGATGTGACTGCAAGTTCTGTGCTAACAGTTTCTTCTCTCACACTTCTCGCTTGTGGAACTCTCTTCTGGCTTCTTGCTTCCCAATCAATTTTTCTCTGCAAAAATTTAAATGCAATGTCAATTGTTATCTTCTGTCTCTTTCATTCCTGTCCTTTTATTGTTCTCTCTCCTTAAGTCTTCTCTTTTATCTCATATTCTCTAACGCTCAGTAACCCTTTGCGTCTTAGTGACTTTATTGCTTTGCTTGGTTAAAAACGATTAAAAAAATGTATTGGAATTAAAATGGCAAATTTACAAAGAAAAAGAAAGCAAATATTTGAGGTTAAAGGTAAAAGGATAAAATAAAAAGACGAAAAAGTCACCGCCTAAAAAAGCGTGCGAAAAAGTAAAAGGAATACGGAAGAGCAGCCGCGCAACAATCAATAACTTGTTATTTCTGTTTAAAAATAAATTTTCTTTAACCATATATAACCAATAGTTTAAGAAGATAATTCTATTTTATACACTTTTATTAAATTTAGTATCTATCTATATAATACTAAAGCTCTGATCTTGTATGTATATATTCTCGAGATACAGCTTAAACAATACATAATGTCCCAACCAATTTAGGGGCATATTGTACCTTGAACTCCTGCCAAGTGCATTGCCAAATTTCATTAAAATTATACAAGTGGTTCTTGAGCTAGGCCCGTTTTTCTAGCATTTTTAATAAGAAATTCATTTTTGTTTTCAATACAAATTCTTATATCAATCTGTGTTTATAAACAAACATTTGCATATTATATTCCAACTATTGTGTGTGTGAAAAATAATAAAAATGTATAATACATAACATTATTAAATAAATTTAAATATACATAACATACAAATCACTACACTACATTAGAACTTCTTTTATAAACAAATATTGTGGTGGTTTGGCAAGTACTTGATCGGTGAAGGCACTATGTGGGTGTGTCATTGTAAATCATAATCTATATGGCTGGAAAATTGTGACACCTGACTTGATGGAAAGTAAATAAATAGATGCATGCTGGTTTACATATTTTGAAATAAATGTGAGGAAGAAATAAGTATATATAATAAAAAATATAATTATTATTTAGAAAAAGTGAAACTAAGTGCACAAAAAGGAGGCATCCTTATGTTATTTCAATAAATATGAATCTCTTTAAGAATTTTAGTGCACTTCATTTGTTTTTGGACCGGTAAAAAATTGACTTATTAACTCAGTGATTCCCAAATGGTGCGGCCCCGCCTCATAGGTGTGGAGGAAGAGGATAGCAGGTGAGGCGGAATGATTGAAAGACAAAGATTTAGAAACAATTTTAAAAAATTCATATACCAAAAATAAGTATGATTTCAAAATATTAAGATGGACTACTTGTTGCATGTATGAGTCCCATTATAAATAGTTGTAAATAATTATTGACTGATTTTATCATTGTGATATTTTTGCAATATATCAAATATTAAGAATATAGTAACTAGGGTCAGCAAATTTTAGGAGACAGTTATCAATGATAATGTTCTGACTTCGAATCAACGGTTATCTCCCTTTAACTCTCTGTCTTTTTTAAATGTAATTTTTATCACATAAAATTTGGTGACGCACAATCAAATTTTAATTCCGAAAATGCGATCCAGAGAAAAAAAAAGTGAACCACTTCCCTAGATCTTGCTCCAGCTGATTGTTTACCATTTTCAAACTTTGAAAGCAGTTTGAGCAGAAAGAAATTTTCAAATGATTCAGAGATGGTAGCAGAGAGGTATTTCAATTATTAAACATTGGAATTTCTTTGGGGTGGGGGTTACATCACTGCAGAGGTGCAAACGGCGTATTCTGAAACCCCAGCCGACAGGTCACGAAAATGTCTGAACCAGATATTGGGTAATGACTGCTTTTTGAGCAGTTTTATTAAATACTTCCCTCCGTTTTTATCGGAATTCTAGCAACAACTAAGTTGGCTACACACACGCATTTTAATTATTAGATATCTCTTAATACCTGAAAGGAGGAAAGAAATTTAATGCAGTTGAACTACATAAGTGGATTATTGTAACTTTTATATTTTCTCATCATTGATAAACTGTTGATAGCTTAATCAGTAGAGATTCTTCTAGAATTTCTCCGCCTTTCAAGTAAGTCATACAAATTAAGTAAGTCGCCAAGATCGAGACATAGCTTGGACCATGAAATAGCCACTCCCAATTCAGGCATCAGAACACAAGAACTTATCGCAATATATAAAAAATGAAGTGTCTCACAAAAGTAAATATTAATTTGTAATGTTTAATGCTCTGTATTCTCAATTGTTTTTCTTATTTCTTTTCTCATCTCGCTTACTTTTCGCTGTTCTAGTTTTTTTTTTTTTTTTTTTTTTAAGAGACGCGACAATCTTCATGCGAAGGTTTTTAGTATTTCATTCAGATTCTGCAATCATTGTTAATTTGCAGATTCAACGAATTAGGAGCGTTGTCCAGTTTTTCAATATCTCTAATTTCTGACGCATTTCTGCAAATTACGTGCATTTGTACATTCTGTACTACTGGACAAAGAGTTTTTTCTCCATGAATTTGATGACCTTATCAATAGCTTTCTCTACTGAGTCCTAGTC